CTGCCCATCTGGGAGCCTTCTGTCGTGCACAGGGCATCCGCCAGACCTTCACGCTTTCGGCCTCTCCACAGCAAAATGGGATTGTTGAGCGCCGCATTGGCATTGTCATGGACGTCGCTCGTACGTCCATGATCCATGCGGCTACCCCCAATTTTCGGTGGCCGTTTGCGGTTCAGTACGCAGCGCATCGGCTCAATCTTCAGCCCCGGGTCTCCTTGCCAGAGACCTCCCCCACCTTGCGGTGGACGGGGAAGGTTGGCGATGCGTCTGCGTTTCGGGTCTGGGGATCTCGAGTGTTTGTCCGCGACTTGTCTGCGGACAAGCTGTCCCCCCGTGTTGTTCCCTGCGTCTTCCTTGGCTTCCCCCCTCACGCGCATGGGTGGCAGTTTTACCACCCCACCTCGCGCCGTGTTCTGTCACCCCAGGACGTCACCTTTGACGAGTCGGTGCCTTACTACCGTCTCTTCCCCTACCGCACTGCGCCCCTCCCCCCACCGCCACTCTTCCTTACGCCAGGTCCTCCCCCAGTAGACCCTCTACCCCCTCAGGGTCTTGCCCCGTTAGGTGTGTCCTAGGTAGAAGAGTCAAGCGTGTCGAGGTAGCTGTTGACTCTGGTGCCGAGTCTGGAGGTGCTGAGCGTGGGGGGCGGAGCCAGGGGGTGCTGAGTCTAGGGGTGCTGAGCCTGGGGGTGCTCAGTCTGGGGGTGCTGAGCCTGGGGGTGCGGAGCCTGGGGGTGCTGAGCCTGGGGGTACGGAGCCTGGGGGTACTGGGTCTGCTCGTGTGGCCTCTCGCGGTGCTTCGACGAGGCAGGAGCCACACTCTCCGCAGGAGCTGCGCGAGTGGTTTGCCCGCGCTAGAGCCGTGCTGCTCGAGCTGGAGGTGCTAATGTTACTGCTGGCCCTGGAGGTGCTCGTACTGACAGTACTGGAGCTGCAGGGACTGGGGGTGCTGCTGGGGCTACTAGAGTTGGTCCTGCTGGAGGTACTGCTGGAGCTGCTGGCGGTACTAGCGCTGGAGGTGCTACTGGCGCAGGTGTTGCTAGAGCTTTTGGAGCTGCTGGAGTTGGTGCTGCTGGAGCTGCTAGAGCTGGAGCTGCTGGAGCTGGAGCTGCTGGGGGTGTTGGCGCTGGTGGTGCTACTGTCGCTGGTGCTTCACAAGGTACTGGAGTTGGCGCTGTTAGAGGTGGAGGTACTACTGGCGCTGGTGTTGCGGCTGGGGGTACTATTGCTGTCCCTGCTGGTTCTAGAGGCACTGCGCGGCCGCGGCCGTACTTTGTTCTGCTCCTTGAGCAGGTTCTTGGTCTCCAGCCTGTCCAGTCGCGGTCACATTTACAGCCTGCCTCCCCCCTACCTGCACCTTCTCCCTACACTTGTCCTACTAGAGGTCTTGCTGAGCGTCGTGAGCGTGCGTCTCGTCCTGCGTTGCCTGTTCGTGCTGCTTGCACTAGTAGTCGTGCTCCGCGTCCGCGTCCTCCTTCGGTCCCAGAAACACACCAGATGGCACTCCGTCCTTCCACTGCTCCTCTGTGTGTCCCGTTGCTGTCTACTCCAGAGTTCTCTCTTCTTTTTCTTGCTGACCCGGAGTCTGACTCTCTTTGTGCTGCCAGTCCTACTATAATGCGTCTCCTGACTATTGTTGTCATTGACCCTTTTTTTGAGCCCTAGTTGCTGAGCTTGTAGATTTTGCTGCTTGCTGGCGTCTAGACTACGCTACTAGTCTTGTTGCTGAGTTTGAGTCTGTCTGTCCTCCGTCCGTCGGGGGTGAGTGTGCTCAAAGCACGGACGTCCTTGAGGACACGCAGGAGGAGTTCCAGTGTTTTGCTGCTCCTTTGCCTCATCTCGTGTCCACGCTCGTTGCCCCTGAGGGAGACCCGGATGCACCAGACATCCCGACTCCTCGATCGTATGCTGAGGTGATCGAGGATCCCTACTCCTCACAGTGGCAGTCAGCCATGGACGCAGAGATGGCTTCCTGGAAGTCCATTAGCACCTACGGCGACGAGGTTCCCCCACCTGGGGCGAACATCGTCAGTGGCATGTTGATTTTTGGGGTGAAGCGGCCGCCGGGTTCTCCGCCTGTCATCAAGGCGCGTTACGTGGCTCAAGGCTTCAGTCAGTGGCAGGGAGTTGACTACTTTCAGACCTTCTCTCCCACCCCGAAGATGGCCACTCTTTGGGTGCTGCTGCACATAGCCGCTCAGCGTGACTACGAGCTTCACTCTCTTGACTTCAGCACAGCTTTCTTGCAGGGCAGCCTATATGAGGAGATCTGGTTGCGCCGCCCACCTGGCTTCACTGGGTCGTTTCCTCCTGGTACCCAGTGGAGCCTCCAGCGGCCAGTCTACAGTCTCCACCAGGCGCCCAGTGAGTGGCACGACACACTGAGGACTACACTTACGGCTCTTGGGTTTGCTCCTTCTACTGCGGACCTGTCACTGTTTCTGCGCACCGACACCTCTTTGCCACCGTTCTACATCCTTGTGTACGTCGACGAGTTGGTCTTTGCCACTGCTGACACTACTGGACTCACCCTCGTGAAATCCAAACTGCAGAAGAGACACACCTGCACAGACTTGGGTGAACTGCGCAGCTACCTTGGCTTGCAGATCACCCGGGATAGAGCACAGCGCACCATTACCCTGACTCAGTCACACATGGTGCAGCAGGTCCTTCAGCGCTTCGACTTCACGTAGTCCTCGCCTCAGGCCACTCCTCTTTCTACTCGCCACTCGCTCTCAGCTCTGCCTTCAGATGAGTCCGTAGAGCCGAGTGGCCCGTACCCAGAGCTTGTTGGCTGCCTCATGTACCTGATGACCTGCACACGACCTGACCTAGCATACCCTCTTAGCATCTTGGCACGCTATGTTGCTCCTGGGAGACACCGACCAGAGCACATGGCTGCAGCGAAAAGGGTGTTGCGCTACTTGTGCAGTACGTCGGTCATGGGGCTAGTGCTTGGAGGGCGACGTTGAGTGGTTCTCACAGGTCACGCAGACGCTTCTTGGGCTGACGACGAGGCTACGCAGCGGTCGTCACAGGGTTACACCTTCAGCCTTGGCTCCGGCTAAGGCTGAAGCCGAGGCTAAAGGTGTAACCCTGTGACGACCGCTGCGTAGCCTAGTCATCAGCCCAAGAAGCGTCTGCGTGCCTGGTGAGGACCACTGGACTCTGCCCTCCGAGCGCAAGCCCCATGCCCGACGTATAGCACAAGTAGCGCAACACCCTCTTCGCTGCAGCCATGTGCTCTGGTCTTTGTCTCCCAGGAGCAACATAGCGTGCCAAGATGCTAAGAGGGTATGCAAGGTCAGGTCGTGTGCAGGTCATCAGGTACATGAGGCAGCCAACAAGCTCTGGGTACGGGCCACTCGACTCTACAGACTCATCTGAAGGCAGAGCTGAGAGCGAGTGGCGAGTAGGCAGAGGAGTGGCCTGAGGCAAGGAGTACGTGAAGTCCCTTGAGAACTGCAGGAACTGCAGCTCGGCGGCTCGGCGACTCGGCGGCTCGGGCGGCTTGGGCGGCTCGGCAGCAATTGCGGCTCGGCGACTCGGCGGCTCGGGCGGCTCGGGCAGGGGCTGATCGCGCTCCGTGCAGAAAAAAAAATCGAATCGGTGGGCCCTAGGAACAGTTCCCACGAGGGAACCTGCTCGATATCATGAGAGAACTAGAACGAGGAATGAATGACAAAGTGAAAGTTGGGTACAAATACAAACCCCCAGTAAGCTGTACCCCATATGTGCTACCCCACTATAGCCTACAATAGCTATGTCATATAAATCTGACACCAGGCCCTCAGATTGGTTTCAGGGTATGCTGATGGATCAGCGTGCCCTGCCCAACGTCGTGACCAAGTCAGCGTTGGGGGTTTAGTTCATTCTGATTTTGTCAGAGTTAATTTCATGGGTAACTAAAGCAAATGTTGTACTTGAGATTTATGGCCAGTACTACTGACGCAGCTGTCTAAGGTTCCGCCTCACTTGCAAGGTCACGGGGTCAATTCCTGTGTATGAGATGTTGTGGAGTGTATGGCGGGGATTCAAGTACTAAAGCCTCATGCACGCGCACTTTCCTCCCGTACTTGACACATTTTGGTTAGTCCGAATCAGTGTGACTCGGTACACTACACTATACTGATGCTTCAGTGTAACTGGTACACCTATACACTAATTTGTCAGGGTAGTCCTATACGTTAAACTGAAATATCAGTGCAAACATAAAGGATAGACTGAAATTTCAGGGAAAACGAAAATCACAGCTACAAAATCAGCCTAATCAGCGTGTTTTACGCTGATATCTGAGGGCCTGATACCATCATTCAGTTAACCATAGTCTCGCCATTTGTTTGTTCCGCGCACTCTGTGAATGGAAAGCAAGAACCAAGGTAATAGCCAGTTGATGACCCACATCACTACCCAGGTTTTAGCCAACTCATAAAATATGGGGTATCCATCATGATACAGAGAGAGATGGCTTTGAAGAAATAAAGGAATACATACACAACATGGCTAACCTCCTGGATGGAAAATTCGTTTTATGAAGTCACCAAACCCTTTATTTGTCCGTTTTTTGTGTGGCGGGGGTGGTCGTTTTGGAGGAGGGGGTGGGGGGCTAGGAGGAGGAGGGGGTGAAGGAGGGGGAGATGGTGGGCGTGGAGGGGGGGGGGGGGGAGGGGAGGGTGGTAAGGGGGGACTAGGAGGTGCGGGAGGTGCGTATGGGGCGGTTAGTACACAAGAGCCAGAAACCAGGTCCCAGTTTTGCTGGATGAGGAATTTGGAGCCGTCTACTCCTACCAGGTTATACTTGATGGCAGAGGCGTCAGAGGCAAGGGGGGTGAACCTGTCAGGTGGGAACGGAATTGGACAGTAGAGGGAAGGAGGATGAAGGAGGTGAGTACGGAGGCATCAATACTGGAAATGTGGTGGAGAGTGGAAGTGCTAACATCAGTGGTTGGGCAGAAAGGTACAAGGTATGAGCAGGTCACAGAGTTTTAAAGCAGGGGCTGCTCACTTCCAGGCGCACTTGTCGGCATTCTCATTGCCTTGCCCGTCGAACCACGTGGAGACAAAGGGGCTGGAAGCAGCTTCTGCGAGCTCGTGGGCGAACACAGAGACAAGGCCATCCATGCCGGGGTTACCCGTGGGTGCCAGAGACGCGTCGCTGCGGATGTCACTGGGGAGGCAGGATGATGGGCACTGCACAGGCGAGAAAGAATATGAGAAACCGAGTGTTTGGAGAGGTCTGGCAGCAAACCAAGGTGAGTTTGAGTGGTTGAGATTTCTAGCTCGATAGGCTCCACTCACGATCAGGTCTGCCTTGCCGACCCAGGAGTAGATGTAGTCGCCATAATTTTCGGCCCATGCGAAGAAGTGCCACCCACAGAAGCCCGTGCAGAACTTTGGAGACGTGGTCGTGTTGTGCCATTTCTGCAGAAGCAGCAGAGAGATAAAGTAACAGGCAATGTGATCCAGCCACACACGACATGTCCTTTGACACAACACCACACCACATGCTGCATCTAACAGTATGGCATCACAGCACACCTGGTCGACAAACTCGTCCGAAAGGAGGAAGTAGACGGCACGAGGGTCGTGGGGCAGTTGTTGGCTGCTGATGGCCGACCCAAGCAGGACTTCTATATCGCTTTTGAGCAGCGTCTTGCCCTTGCTGTACGCCCTGTCCTCCACCTCGCTGCCCCACGTCACAGATTGCGATATGTGGTTGCCATCCCTGTCGTAGTAGAGCCGGTTGATGTTCCACCACAATGGAACTGAAACAAACAAGTAGATTATACGTCACTGATATGTTTTTATAAGACATAACACCTTGGTAATTCCTGAGCCGAAGGAGCTCTCCCTGGGACGGCCTACCAGTGACGGCGGTGTCAGCGTTGGGGCTGAGCGATGCGACGAAGGTGCGGAGCGTCTGCTTCTGAGCGTCGGAGAAGACGCCGTACCACAGCACGAACACGCGTATCGGCCGATGCAGCACGCCGCACCTGTTCCCGCACCACGCCGTCCCCCAATGCGGGGAGATCCCGATGGGCTCTGCGGTACCCATGATTGTCGCGCGGCAGCCCGTCATCGCCGCGTCGCCTTGACCTTCCCTGAGGTGGGTGAACGCATACAGCAGGACTGGAGATGATTAAAGCCACGGAAACGGAGCGTGTTCTTTGTTCACATAGAAGTTTAATAGAAGGGCGTTGCTCAGGCATCCCGGTCTTATACTACTAGCTCAGGCTGGCGCGGTCAACAGGGGACGCACCATGTGGTGGTCGGCGCGATTCCGGGTCGGAGAGCTTCAGAATCCTGATGTCCCATCGGTGGCGCGGATTCTTGGATTGGCCAGTGCTGTCGCAACAATCCGGAAGAACGAAATGGACTAGGAGACGCTTGGACGAGCGTTCGAGGAGTCGAGTTACTAGTAATACGACGACTACTACCAGCCTGGACTTTCAAAACCCCGCTGAGGAGAACTGTTAGTAGTATTGAAAGCGTAAACACACTCTGCGAGCGGACTCTCCGCCAGCATGGTTTGACAATTTGACTCATGCCACAGTTCGGACACAAAAAACGGAATTTCAACTTGAAGTTTGATCTTATTGCTACTAGCAGTAGGCCAAGACTTAGCACCACAGCGAGTTCACAAGGTTCGTCGTACGGATAAATACACGAAATCGCTCATTTCCGTAACTTAGAGGCACGCAGTGGATTGGTAGTACAATCTGCTAGTAGCAGACGAGTTGCACGTGAATTTAGAAAATGAAGCCATGGAGTGACAACGAGGTGGATTAGGTCCAGGCGACACACCAAAATGAGAGTGCATGCTGATTGCTGCACGTTGTATCATGTGTGAATGCACCATTTGTACTGAACAAGCATGATGCGGCCTGTGCTAGGTTCTCTCTGATTATGGGATGGGATGGGGGAACTAAGGGGGGCGTACTTTTTCTTTGTGGTCTCATACAGAGCGGTTGATTACGTTCAAATACGTTTGGGCACGGTGGCACATGTTTCGCCACATTAGTACAGTCCATCCCTCAGATAACCCTGAAGAAAAAGTATGACCCGCCCTCACCTCATCAGGTCTGGGTTGGTGTAAATCGTGTTGGTTGGTGGTGGTGAGGATTCGTTCAGGCATGCATCGTGCGCTGAGTGGCTTCATCCTTGCGTGGCCTTTCCTGTTTGCCTTCCACGCTGCCAAAATGTTGACATGTCAACGCTTGCTGTGTTCGGATCGGGTGACAGAACAGTGTACTGTAAATAGAAAACGGATGCGACTCGGAAAGGCATCCACTGCATAGAGAAACTGGTGGGTGGGTTCCCGTCAAAGGCTTCGCAGTGTTCGCGGCGACAAACGACCAATTTACGACCTCGTCCTGCAACAGAGTTCTTGTAGCGACAGTCAGTTGTGTTGTGGTTACTCGCAGATCACATTGGATGGGTCACGTGATCGCATGAACTTTGGCAAGCGACGAGCCTTTTGTTGGTCAACGCAACTGTTCAGCATGGGGAGCGTCAGATGGGTGCGCGAATTCATGGAGCATGAAAGGTGCAACTGTTATCGCAGAAATTTGTTACAGCATTTTCCGTTCGACAACGTGGTCAACGAAGTTGGCAGGCATGGCTGGTTGCTTCGTTACATTCTCCAGATAAAAGAAGGCTCATTCCTTCATTCGTGTAAGGAATTTTCCCGAATTCCTTATCGGGGATGACTGCTTCGCGTACAGCACCGATTTTCGGAATTTGCACGCTCGGCCGATTTCAACGCTGCCGAGGCTCCTCGCGTCGCCTTCGGCATTTCCCATCGCCAAACCTGCACCCAACCTCGCTCGTCCGAGGTTCCCTCCTTGCTAGGCTAGCTCCTGCATTAGTCTATGCCTTCATTATATTCTCAGTTCATTCAATCACAGTCACATTATTCGTTTACCTGCGCACTCTCTTTTACAACTCATAACACCTGGTACCAGAGCTACTTTCCTAGTTCACCTCGCTTTTCCGATGGTAGTTTGGTGGCACGGGTGTGGCTGATTTAGTCACTGTACGACGGTTAGCTGCACGGATTGTTAATTTAATCCTGCCCGACTCCGATAGTTCGTGTTTTCACTTGCCTGAAGGCCACGGAGACCCGATTGCCCACCAGACATAGCGCTAGGCAGATGGATCATGGGGCTGTTTACAAGCCGATGGCGCAAGTGGCAGAAATGCAAGAGGGCATGAAGTCGTTAATGGCGGAAGTAACAGCACTGCGTGAAGAAAATGCCGAGCTACGCCAGACGCGAGGTGAAGCGCGTTAGGGGTCGCCCGATGACGAAGGCGAGGGCAACTTCCCGGGAGGGAACCCGCTTTCGTGGCCAGACACATCGGGCCACTATCAACGCCATCCATGCACCCGACTGCCCTCCTAAGGGACCGTGTTATCGGTGTGGGAAAACGGGTCACTACATGAAAGATTACCATGAGAAAACACCGCTTACGGGGAACGACAGGAAGGAGCAGGGAAATGGGAAGAGTCAACAATTAGCGGGCCCTTTACTGACTGTGCTCCATCGCCCGAACCCCACCATCCCCACAGAGTCGTGGTTCCGATTCATGCAACCGATCGAACTCGGCCGAATAACGAGGATAATAATGTGGATCACCCTGTGCTAGTCGCTGGCAAGGTGTTAAAAAATAACTTGAAAATATTCGTCGATGGAGGGGCCAACCATAGCCTCTTCAACTTGGCGACACCAAAAAAATGCAAGCTGCAACTTGACAGGTGTCTGCCCGAAATCGACGCTTGCCTCATGGATGGGACGCCTCTAGTGATAACGGAAGAAACACGGACGGTCAGGATCGACTGCAGCGACGATTTTGGCTTGAGCATGAAGTTCCTCGCGACGACACTAGATGGCTGCGACATGCTGCTAGGACGCGATTGGTTGCGACGGCACAACCCCGTCATCGACCGGACAGCGGGATCGTGCAGCATCAACAAGCACGAGGGGCTTATCAAATTGCCTGCATGGACACCTGACCCCATCCAAGCCCCGTGCGTAAAAGCTATCACTATAGCTCGCCCCTTCATTACGGGCACGCAGCTGTTCGCTGTTTGCTTACGCGAGTTGGCAGTGGACATCGACAGAAAGGACATCGACAGAAAGGACATCGAGAAGCTGTGTGCATGTCAGAACATTATAGCTTATACATTTGTGTACGTTGTAGTGGGGTAGCCCATAAGGGGTACAACCCATTTAGGGTTAGTACTTGTACCCGACTGTTTCATAGTTCATTCATCCATTCTCACTTCTCGTCATGGTATCGAGCAAGTTCCTGAGTGGGAATACCGCCTGGGGCCCACCACGAACTTTTTTTTTTTCCTTCCCTGCCCGGAGCGCGCTTCGCTCCTAACCCGAGTAGCGCCTCTAGCCGCCTTAGTGGCCCCCATTGGCCGCCCTTTCGGCCCCTCGCGCCGCCTTCTACGGCCCCGTCTGGCCCCTTACGACCCCGTCGCGGCCCCGCTCAGGCCCCTTACGGCCGCGTCGCGGCCCCGCTTAGGCCCCTTACGACCTCGTCGCGGCCCCGCTTAGGCCCCTCCGCGGCCCTGTCGTGCCCCTTACGGCCTCGCCTAGGCCCCTTATGGCCCCTCCGCGGCCCCGCTTAGGCCCCGTCTGGCCTTGTACGGCCCCTTCCGGTCTCTTCGCGGCCCCGCCTAGGCCCCTTCGCGGCCCCGTCTGGCCCCTTACGGCCCCTTTGCGGCCCCGCCTAGGCCCCTCCGCGGCCCTTCCCAGGCCCCTCAACGGCCCCGCTACGACCCCGCTACGGCCCCTTTACGGCCCTGCTACGGCCCCATTACAACCCCTCAACGGCCCCTTTACGGCCCCGCTACGGCCCCTTTGAGGCCCCTTTGCGGCCCCGTCTCCACCTGGGGCCCCGTCGCCCACTGCGGCCCCGTCGCCACCTGCGGCACCGCCCACCCTTGCGGCCCGCCGCCACCTAAGGCCCCGCCACCACCTGCGGCCTCGCCGCCACATGCGGCCCCGCCGCCCCGCGCCCGCAGCGCCGAGAAGCCAAACCGCCGGCCAGCTAAGCCGCCCGACCGCCCGACCGCCGAGCCGCCCAGCAACCGAGCCGCCCGACCGCCGAGCCGCCCAGCAACCGCGCCGCCCAGCAGCCGAGCCGCCCACCAGCCGAGCCGCCCGACAGCCGAGTCGCTCAGCACCGTGCAGCCAAGCCGCCCAGCAGCCGAGCCGCCCAGCAGCCGAGCCGCCCGACAGCCGAGTCGCCCAGCACCGTGCAGCCGAGCCGCCCGACCGCCGAGCAGCCGAGCAGCCCGATCGCCCCACCTGCCTGGTAAGAGCATAGTCTCTGCCACTGCACTGCCCTACCCCACTGTACTCACTGCCTGCCTACTGTTGTTATGGCCTCCCCTAGCGTTCTCACCTTTGACGCTGAGGGTCGGGAAGTGGACTTTGAAGTCTGGGTAGATTATCTGCAGCTTTTTCTGCAGTGCGATAGGGCAGACGGCCTCTCACTGTTTGACCTCACTTTTGGTGCCTCCCCTGCCCCTGCTGCTGATGCTGACGCCACTGTTCGCTCACAGTGGGCCACACATGATGCTGCTGCTCGCTTTGCTGTGCGCCGCCACTTACCGACCATTGAGCGTGCACACTTTAGCCAGTACAAGAGTGCTCATACCTTGTACGACGCTGTAGTTGCACGCTACTCCTCCCTTGCCACTGCTGCACTGAGCCGCCTCATGCTACCGTACCACTTCCCTGACCTTGGTGCCTTTCCCACTGTCGCTAACCTCATTACGCACATCCGCACTAGTGACACTCACTACCGCGCTGCGCTTCCTGCTGAGTTTTGCGCCGACCCCCCCCCCCCCCCCCCCCCCCCCCCCCCATGTACATCACCCTCTATTACATAGTCACCCGGCTCCCTGACTCTCTTCGGGTAGTCAGGGACCACTTCCTCTCTGTTTGCCCCACCACTCTCACCGTTGACCTCCTCGAGAAGGCCCTCCTAGTGATCGAAAAGAGCATAGTCGCTGTAGGGGCCTCTCGTGGTGACCCTCACACCCCTGTCTTTGAGGGGTGTTCTCCCTCCCCCCTCTTGCCCTCTCTTGCCTCTTCTGCTGCGGCCGACCTCGTTGGATTCGAGTTGGTCGGCGCTGCGTCTCCCCCGAGCGGGAGACACCGCACTGGCAAGGGCAAGGGGGGCAAGGGCACTGGAGGGCCTGGAGGGGGCGGTGGAGGTTGTGGTGGAGGCGGTGGAGGGAGTGGGGGTGATGGTGGGAGTGGTGCCGAGGGTGGCGGCGGTGGCGGCAGCAGTGAAGGCGGCGGAGGCGGTGGAGGTGGCGGAGGGAGCGGAGGAGGCGGAGGTAGTGGAGGAGGCGGAGGTGGAGGAGGCGGCGGAGGCGGCGGAGGCGGCGGAGGTGGAGCGAGCCGCGACTCTGCTCAGAGGGGTGGCGCTGGTGGTGGTCAGCGCCAGCAGCAGCAGCGGAGTGGTGTAACCCTGTCCCCTCAGCAGCTTCGTGAGTGTTACACTGCGCGTCAGCGCGGTGGGGGTTGTGGTCCCTGCTCTTACGTCCTCCGTACCGGCGACCACGCTGGTGAGCAGTGCGGAGGCCCGCACTCCACCCAGAGCTGCTTTGGTCGCCTGACGGACGCGTGGCATCGCCAGTTCCCTGAGGCCTCAGAGATCCCTTGCTGGGAAGATCTGGCTAAGGCCGGGGTTGCTATCTTTGATCTTGACTATGATGCTATCCTTGCTGCCATGTATGCTGTTGATACTAGTGTTGCTGGTGACTGTTACCTGTGTGTACCGCCTGACCCGAGCATTGAGGCTGCTGCACTAGGTGCTGGTGAGGCTGCTGCTCTAGGTACTAGTGCGTCTGCTGCCCCAGGTGCCAGTGTATCTGCCGCCCCTGGTGCTGGTGAGTCTGCTCTCTCAGGTACTACGTCGGTTCAGGCCTTCCACACCATCACCCTGGACTCGGGCGCGTCCCGCTCCTTCTTTCGAGACCGCACCACTCTTACGCCGCTCAGTCGGCCGGTTGCATTCTCCCTGGCAGACCCCTCTGGGGGTCCTGTCCTTGCTAGCTTCTCCACTGTCCTTCCGTGCCCTGCAGCCCCCTCTGGCACCCTGTCTGGTCTCTACCTCCCCTCATTTTCTACGAACTTGGTGAGTGGAGCGGACCTACAGGATCGAGGGGTTGACCAGTTCACTCCTGCAAGTCAGTGAGTGACCCACTGCACGTGTGCTCAGACAGGCCGACACTTGGCCACGTTCACCCATCGGCCAGGGTCGAGCCTGTACACCCTTACTACTGAGTCTCCTCCTGCTGCTCAGTCTGCCCAGGTAGCTGCGTCGAGTCAGGTGTTTGCTGCGGCGTCCAGGTCTGGTCCAAAGTCTGCCCCCTGCTCGTGTCGTCTGCTGTCCCACCAGACTCTTCATTGGCACCACCGCATTGGTCACCCCTCCTTGCCTCATCTCCGAGGCATGGCCTCCAGTATCCTTGTCTCTGGTCCCCCTCGGTCTCTCCCTCCCCTTCCTCCGGGGCCTGGCCCTACCTGCGTCCCCTGCGTCGAGGGGCGACAGCGCGCCGCCCCTCACTCCTCCGAGTTTCCTCCGACAGAGGCTCCGTTGCAGACTCTCTACATGGATGTGTGGGGCCCAGACCGCGTCAGTGGGCAGGGGCGAGAGCGGTACTTTCTGCTGGTCGTTGACGACTACTCGCGTTACACCACGGTCTTCCCCTTGCGCAGCAAGGGTGACGTCACTGAGGTGTTGATCGGCTAAGCGCGGAGCTGATGCTTACTAGAAATCAGCGTCGAATTGGTCGCCCTACGGCAGTTTTTCGAGGCGATTTTTTCTGCGACCGCTGCTTAGCCGAGAGTCGTCGAGTGAGAACGGCTCTGATTACCAGGTGTCGCAGAATCGAATTCTCAATCAAAACTTGTCCCTAAAAATGAATACAAGGCATTTTTATATTCTGAAAATACAAGGATAAACGAGATAAAACGAACCTTCAGAAACACGCCCTTCCCGATACTACAATCACAAGTGCGCACAAGCACGCAAGGCTATTGGCACTAGGGATTACGCCCAGATTACGCCGTATACACCACTGTCGGCGCTGTCGGTGCCGTATAATAGGTATGTCGGTGGGAAAAGTAGGAAATACGAGAAATAAATAGAAGGCTCTAGAAAATAGAATAGTAGGCCGATTGAGATGAGATAAAGACCAAAATAAAAAGGACAAAAGTGAGAATAGGATAACCGAAAAATACAATAGTGAGAAAATATTATAACGGGGACGTCCTCTCACACAGAGGCCGACGCTTGGCCACGTTTACCCGTCGGCCAGGGTCGAGCCTGTACACCCTTACTACAGAGTCTCCTCCGGCCGCTGAGTCTGCCCAGGTAGCTGCGTTGAGTCAGGTGTTTGCTGCAGCATCCAGGTCCAGTCCTGAGTCTGCTCCCTGCTCGTGTCGTCCGCTGTCCCACCAGACTCTCCTTTGGCACCACCCCCTTGGTCACCCCTCCCTGCCTCGTCTCTGAGGCATGGCCTCTCGTGTCCTTGTCTCTGGTCTCCCTCGGTCTCTCCCTTCCCTACCTCCGGGACCTGGCCCTACCTGCGTCCCCTACGTCGAGGGGCGACAGCGCGCCACCCCTCACTCCTCCGATTTTCCTCTGATAGAGGCTCCGCGGCAGACTCTCTACATGGACGTGTGGGGCCCAGCCTGCGTCAGTGGGCAGGGGCGCGAGCGGTACTTCCTGCTGGTGGTTGACGACTACTCACATTACACCACAGTCTTCCCGTTGCGCAGCAAGGGTGACGTCACTGAGGTGTTGATCGACTGGATCCGCGCAGCTCGTCTCCAACTCAAAGAGAGTTTCAACTCGGACTTTCCTGTTCTGCGTCTGCACTCGGCAGAGGCGGAGAGTTTTCCTCTGCCCATCTGGGAGCCTTCTGTCGTGCACAAGGCATCCGCCAGACCTTCACGCTTCCGGCCTCTCCACAGCAAAATGGGATTGCTGAGCGCCGCATTGGCATGGTCATGGACGTCGCTCGTACGTCCATGATGCATGCGGCTGCCCCCCATTTTATGTGGCCGTTTGTAGTTCAGTACGCCGCGCATCAGCTCAACCTTCAGCCCCGGGTCTCCTTACCAGAGACCTCCCCCGCCTTGCGGTGGACGGGGAAGGTTGGCGATGCGTCTGCGTTTCGGGTCTGGGGATCTCGGGCGTTTGTCCACGACTTTTCTTTGGACAAGCTGTCCCCCGTGCTGTTCCCTGCGTCTTCCTTGGCTTCCCCCTTGACGCGCCTGGTTGGCAGTTTTACCACCCCACCTCGCGCCGTGTTCTGTCCTCCCAGGACGTCACGTTTGACGAGTCGGTTCCTTTCTACCTTCTCTTCCCCTACCGCACTGCCCCCCTCCCCCGCCCGCCGCTCTTCCTTGCCCCAGGAGCTACCCTGGTAGACCCCCTCCCCCCTCTGGGTCCTGCCCCGTCAGGTGTGTCCCAGGTAGACGCAGTCCAGCCTGTCGAGGTAGCTGTTGACTCTGGTGCTGCTAGAGGTGCTGAGCCTGCGGATGCCTAGCCTGGGGGTGCTGAGTCTGGGGGTGCTGAGATTGGGGGTGCTGAGCCTGGGGGTGCTGATACTGGGGGTGCTGAGCCTGGGGGTGCTGAGTCTGAGGGTGCTATGCCTGGAGGTGCTGAGCGTGGGGGTGCTGAGCCTGGGGGTGCTGGGTCTGCTCATGTGGCCGCCGGCGGTGCTTCGTCGAGGCGGGAGCCGCTCTCTCCACACGAGCTGCGCGAGTGGTTCGCCCGCCGCTGGAAACGTGCTGCTGAGTCTGGGGGTGCTGGTGGAGTTACTGGAGTTGGTCCTGCTGGAGCTACTGTCGGTGCTAGTGCTGCTGGAGGTGGAGCTGCTGGGGGTGTTGGCGCTGGTGTTTCTACTGGTGCTGGTGCGTGTGGGGGTGCTGGTGAGGCTGCTGGTGCTGACGGTCCTACTAGAGTTTTTGCTGCTGGAGCTGGAGCTACTGGCGGTGCTGCTGACGCTAGTGCTCCTGAGGGTGCTGGAGTTGGCGCCGTTGGAGCTGGGGGTGCTGCTGGCGCTAGTGCTGCCGTTGGGGGTACTGGTGCCGTCCTTGCTGGTTCTGGAGGCGCTGCGCGGCCGAGGCCGTACTTCGTTCCGCTCCTGGAGCAGGTTCTTGGTCTCCCGCCCTCTACCGGTTCTGCTCCTCCGTTAGAGGGTCCACAGCCTGTCCATTCGCAATCACAGTTACAGCCCGCCTCCCCTCTTCCTGCTCCTTCTCCCTACACTGGTCCTACTAGGGGTCTTGCTGAGCGTCGTGAGCCTCCATCTCGTCCTGCGTTGCCTGTTCGTGCTGCTCGCACTAGTGGTCGTACTGCACGTCCGCGTCCTCTTGCGATCCCCGGCACACACCAGATGGCACTCCGTCCTTCCACTGCTCCTCTGCGTGTCCCATTGCCGTCTCCTCCAGAGTCCTCTCTTCCTCCTCTTGGTGGCCTGGAGTCTGACTCCCTTTGTGCTACTAGTCCTTCGGTCACGCGCCTTCTTGCTACTGTCGTCACTGACCCTTCCTTTGAGTCCACTGTTGCGTCTGCTCTAGTTGCTGAGCTTGTCGACTTCGCTGCTCCCTGTCGTCTGGACTACGCTGCCAGTCTAGTTGCTGAGTCTGAGTCTGTCTGTCCTCTGTCCGTCGGGGGTGAGTGTGCTCTTAGCACGGACGTCCTTGAGGACAGGCAGGAGGAGTTCCAGTGCTTTGCGGTTGCTTTGCCCCATCTCGTGTCCACGCTGATTGCCCCTGAGGGAGACCCGGATGCACCAGAAATCCCGACTCCTCGATCGTACGCTGAGGCGATCGAGGGTCCCTACTCTTCTCAGTGGCAGTCAGCCATGGACGCAGAGATGCCTTCCTGAAAGTCCACAGGCACCTACGTCGACAAGGTTCCCCCACCTGTGGCGAACATCGTCAGTGGCATGTGGATTTTCAGGGTGAAGCGGCCGCCGGGTTCTGCGCATGTCTTCAAGGCGCGTTACGTGGCTCGAGGCTTCAGTCAGGGGCAGGGAGTTGACTACTTTCAGACCTTCTCTCCCACCCCGAAGATGACCACTCTTTGGGTGCTATTGCACATAGCCGCTCAGCGCGACTACGAGCTTCACTCTCTTGACTTCAGCACAGCTTTCCTGCAGGGCAGCCTGCACGAGGAGATCTGGCTGCGCCGCCCCCCTGGCTTCACTGTGTCGTTTCCTCATGGTACCCAGTGGAGCCTCCGGCGGCCAGTCTACGGTCTTCGCCAGGCGCCCTGTGAGTGGCACGACACACTAAGGAGTGCGCTAGGCGCAAACACGCCGGCCTCGATGCAATTTTTCAACGTTACGCGCGAGGGGTGACCGGGGCGCTGGTGCCAGAAATCGTCGTTTGCGTAGAGCCCAGAGGTGTGCATGTAGCATGCGCGCACTGCTTCGGGGTCCTTGTC